CTTTAGAATGTGAGTCCTGGGATGGTAGAGATCTTTGCCTTGGAGGCACCAGTAGATACTCATTGCATGATTGAGTGGACAGCCAGGACTGAATAGAGATCAACGAGGTAAAGGTCTTCTCTAGTTGGAAACCACTGACCCCAAAGAGCACTGGGCTGGGGCCCCTTAGGGGAATCCCCCACCCTGTTCTTAAGTCTCTGGCCAAGGCCAGGGTCATGTAGACATCATGCCTGGCATCCTGCTGGGGTACCTTTGTGGGCCCTGCCTCAGACCAAGGCTCCAGGATACCCAGCTCCTCAGCAAGGAGGATCCAAGAACAGTATTATTTACTACAGTCAAGTAGTCCTGTGCCCAGATGTCCCTCTCAACAAACCTGGGAACACTGAGTCAGGTGTCTTGAGAGAAGACTCTAGTCTCTGCTGAATTCCTTAAGAGTAGAGTCAGGTACCTAGCAGGTTCCCTGTCCCCACGCCCAGAGGAGCCTCTCCTAGCTCAAGAATTCACTGTGGTTCCTGGGTAGGGGAAGGAGCAGAGTGACTCTTCAAAGTACCAGTTGCCTCTGAGAGGCAGGGCGGGAGGGAAGGTCACCTCAAAGGGAACTGGGCACAGCCCCATGGTGCCAGGACACAGGGAGGGGACGGTGTCCTGGGGAACCCTGGGAGCCAAGGCTGGAGAAGAGCAAGCAGCACCAATGGCCCCCCTGGGGGACGCCCCTCTCCTGCCCCATACCCTACTTTTCCCTGCAAACTGCTCCTGGGTAGGGGAAAACAAAGTTGCCAAACAGACTTGGCATGTCTTGACCCAGGAGGAGCCCTGATAGTAGTATCGCCTGAGTGAGATAAGAAGCCTTCTCTTGAGCTGAGTACTCAGGATAAGTTAAGTCCAAGCGGCCAGTGCTGCTCAGAGCAGCCAACCCAGCAGCAGGGACCATGGGCCTCTTGGGCCTCCACTCAGGTGTCTCAAGAGTTGCCCCCGACACTTCTAGAAGGATCCGGAAAGTTGAGGAATCCTTCAGGAAACCCCACAGCGCTCCTGGAGACTCTTGCCCGGGATGCTCAATGTCTCCAGTGGGTAGACAAGGGGTCACAGACTGATGGTAGAGGCTCCACAATTTCCAGCTCCATATACCACTTTCTCTATGGGGTGGGGGGTGTGCAGGCTCCTGGGGCCAGGACGTCCCGGCAGGGGAGGACACCTCTTCCCTAAACGAGGTTGAAAGCACTATGGAATTCCCAGAAAAGCTCCTTAATGGCAACAGAGCAGCATAAGAATGTGATCCCCTCCACCCCCAACAGGGTACAGAATGTATACAGCCAAGCCTCTGCTAAAAGCTGAGATTAGATTGTGCACCCCCTTCTCCCCAGGAAAGGCCCCCAGCTGGGGTCTGGCCATTAGGCCTCACTCCTGGCTCTACCAAAGAGCAGGGCAGGTACCAAGGGCCACCCACAGGAACACAAGGTGAGGCTGGAAGAGGCCACTGTCCTCTACCTCTGCCTCCCTAGTTTCAAGGAACAATATTCCCATTTTAGAAGGTCTGACCTCCAGAGGCTTTCAAAAATCAGGGCCTCTTGGCTGATTTCTGGACAAAGAAGCCAAATTCCCTCACAACCCAGCAAGCACGGCCAAAAGGTTCAGGTGTCTGTCCAAAGGCCCACAAGTGAAACTTTTTACGCTTTATGGAGCAAGTTAAGCAGCTCCCCCACCCTGCTACCTGCTCTATGCCAGACCACTGTGTTCATGACATTTTTTTCCCCATTCTCCTGTCAACAAGGCTCACTGAGGCTTGGCATGGTTAGGTGACTGAGCCAAGATTATGGAGCAAGAAATCAGCACAGCATGATTCAGAGCTACACCTGTTATCTGGGAAGACACTAAAAAACTTAAGAACCATGTTTGAGGAAAAAGACTGAGAAGCAAGAGGGAGTTTTGCCCCCTCACACTTTCTAAAACATTTCACTTTCTCCACTATGGGCTCCTATTACCTTTTTAATTTTTTAAACTAATGGGTCAGCTGGAATTATGGGCCCTTTTCTTCTTTCAATGTGACTGTATTAAAATTTTGCTAAGTGCTCAATTATTAAGTTATTAAAATTATATTATTCTACCACCAAAGAGGCACTCCATTGACTCAAGGAAAAGTAGGGATGCAGACTGACCTCAGACGCTGCAAACACTGTCCAGTGGCCCCCCCAGAGACTGGCCTAGTCTAACTTTGGAGAAGAGGAGTTAAAAGAGTGGTCAGAGCCCCCAGAGCTGGGTTTGCCTCTTGACTGCCACAGGTGAACACTGTGGGCAGATCACTTAAGAAAACCAAACCCGGGGCACCTGGTTGGCCCAGTTGGTTGAGCAACGGACTCTTGATTTTGGCACAGGTCAGTATCTCAGGGTCCTAAGATGGAGCTGCCAGGCAGGAGTCTGCTTGAGGATTTCTCTCCCTCTGCCCCTCCCCCTGCCTCGTGCCCACATTCGAAAGAAAAGAAAAAAGGAAAGAAGGAAGGAAGGAAGGAAGAGAAAGAGAGAAAGAAAAAAAGAGAAAGAAAGAAAAAGAAAGAGAAAACCAAATCGGAATGCTCTGCCCATGAGATAAATAAGTAGGACCATCTCTCCCAGGACCCTTCCCATGTCTTAGCTCTGGAAGACGCAGACTGTCTTCCTCAAAAGCCCTTCTGACGGTGGCTTCTCCGGGGCTGGGCCACAGCTATTCGGTACCGCTGCTCTGTTCTTCCCACCTGGGGTTTTCTGTCTCCCTGACACACCCATTCCCTCCCAGCTCCCCTCCCTGTTCACAATCCCCTCTGCAGCCTGACAGGACTCTGAGTTGTAAACTCTGCAGAGGATCCCAAGAGCCCAGGTTAAGACGCCCCGCATCTGGCACGTGGATCCCCATGGGAAGGGGCACTGAGTCTAAGCCCTGCCCCCTCACCCAATGCTCACCTGGTCTCAGGTGAGAGCCTGAGGGGACCACATCGCGGTTCTCCTGGTTACAGTCAGTTCTCCCCACAGCTAAAGCTCAGTGTGTCTACAAACTGCCCAGCAGGGGCAAACCAAGAGCAAACTTTGCACACTTTCTTTGGCAAGACGGTATTTTTCACTCCTCACCAAGTCCTAACGTATCACAGCGCAACTCCACCCCCGTTGTCGTGGAAAACATACTGGATCTCCATACCTTCCCTTAAGGTGTCCAAGGCCGCCAGAGGCGGAGAAAGACCCAGAGACCGAAGCCCCTCCCGCGGGCTTCCTGCGTCCGGGGATTAGGAGGCACAAAGGGCCGGCAGAGAGTGGGCCCAGATGGCAGGGGCAGGGACTAAGCCGGCGAGGTAACGAGCTGCGGCCGCTGCTCGCAGAGAGCGGGCTACCTGAGACGCGCGTCGCCAGCCTCTTGGGCCAGGGGCCTTCCACGTGGGGCCCAAGGACCCGGGATCCCACCCCCGCTCGCGGTGACCTCCTGCACTCAGCCGGGGCCGGGCACTTGTTTCTCCGTTTCCCAGAACCAACACTATTAGGCAAACCCGAAGCTCAAATTCAGTAAACGCGGACGGATCAGGCAGAGAAAAGTTCCCAGCCGCACTTCCTACAGGTGTCCTTCGCCCAAACGGAGCCACGGGATCCAGGGCGAGGCGCGCGGACCCGCGCACAGCTCTCCCCGCCCTGCCCGGGGAAAGCAGGGGTCCCGGCCCTCCCCCGCCTTCCCGCCCCGAGTGGAGGGCACCCCGAGGGGGCGGACCCGGCTGGGTGTTTCCGGGCCCGCGCCTCACCTGGAGCCCCAGGCCGGCCCCCGCCCGAGGCCTCGGCGTTCCACGGAACCGGCCGCCGGGTCCGCTCACTCCGCCGCCGGCCCACGGGCTGCTGGGCGGCCGTCTCCTTCCTGCTCACCTCCGGCGCGGCGAGCAGGGGGCGGAGCCGCTGCTATTTACATAAAGGGCGAGCCGGGAGCGCCGGGCCCCAGCGGCCCCGCCCCCGAGCCTAGCCCCGCCCCTCCAGAGCTCTGAGCCGACGGGGCGGGAGCGCAGCTAGGGCGCCCTTGGGGGGCGGGCGGCGGCCGCTCCCGGGCCAATCCTCGGCCCCGGGGAGCGCGGGGGCGGGACCGCGGCCGGCGTGAATATGCACGAGGCACTGCGGGCCCGCCCTCGGCCTCACCTGCGCGCACCTGGACTCAGGACGGCGCGCTGCGCCCAGTGTCCTGCCGCGTCCGGGAGGAAATAGTCCCTGGGACGCACGGCATCCTGGGCCGCTTCCCAGGCCCGACCGCCGAGGGTAGCCGTCCCTCCCCCACGCCGGCCCGGAGCGGCTGAGGGAGGGACGTAGCCGAGCCTGCTCTTCCCGAGGACGCCCAACCCAATCAGAGCGGGTGACCGGCGGACACTGGGCCCGGTTTCGGGACCCAAGAGCGAGGTGGCCTGGGGACGGGGGCGTCGCGGCGAGGCGCCTCCCCTCGGGGCGGGCCCCAAGCCTGGACCCCCGTCCTCCGAGTCGCTGCGGAGGGAGGAAGGCGCTCAAGGCCCCGAAGGACAGCAACATTGACCAGTTTTTAGCACAACTGGGGAGTGAGTTGGAGCGACGAGAGGCGGGAGCGGAGGCCAGGGATGAGAATGGCGCGCTCCACAGCACGACCCGAAGCCACTGGGGTTCAAGCCGCGCCGACGTGGCGCCTGTCTGCCGCCCTTCTATCCCGAAGCGGCTGCGTTCAGGGAAAGCCCGATGGGGCGCCAGCCTCCCTCCGCGGACTACCATTCAGAAAGCCAAGCTGATTAGGTCTGTGACTTCCCGTCCCCTGAGCGCAGGCCCTGAGAAAGGTGCGGGGTCGCGTTCTTGCCCTCCCGGGGAGACTTCTCTTCGCTCCCGCGCCAGAAAAAGCAGCGTTGTCTGTGGCCCGGCAGAACAGGGGTGAGGGCCTGGGGGCCAGGTCCACGGACATCGAGACTTGGGGCGGGGGTGTAGGGGAGAGAAAGGAGCGCTTGAGGCTCAGGCTCGGGACTTGTCCATTATCTCCAGCCACAGCAGAAAAGCGATCTATTTTTTAATGGCTTTGGCTTTATCGTACGAAGCAGGCACCCTCTCGTTTAAAGGCACAGAGTCCTCCTCTCTTCTGCCCCACCCTGCTGGGTCTCTGAAATCTAGTCCTGAGTTCCAAGGGGATCACTGCACGAGAGCAATCTCAGGCCTGGGACTATGGAAGCCAGGTAGGGGGGGCATGGCTTCGTTCTCCTGCAAGCATCAGACACCCAGGGCCAAGGCCCAGACTAGCCCCTGAAGCTACAGGTCAGGGTCTGGGTATAGGAGGCAGCTGAGATGGTCCCTGAGAGTAGACAGTCCAGGTCCCCCAGAGCAGGTCCCATGCCCTGCCAGAGCGGGGTGATTAGTGTTCCAGATCCCTGGGCAGCGTGAAGTCCCTGAAGCTGTAGAAGGAGATGTCTCCATGATCCACCAGGGCAAAGATCAGAGGAACATCCCCACTCTGGTAGGATAACCGCTTGAGGGTACAGAGGTCTGGAACTGGTTCATCAAATCTGCAGGGATAAAGTTAGACTGAGACGTGGACATAGGCCACCCATAAGCTCTGAGCCCCCAGCCCTCTCAGGCTACCAGAAAGGGAAATTCTAAGACAGGAGTTGAGGGTGCAAGAAGTCTGGCCTCTGGACTCTCCTGTCTGCAAACTGTGTGGCTCTGTTAAGTTCTCCAATAGGAACCCAGAGCCTTCGTTGGGTACAGGGGCTAAGAAGAGTGAGATTCTCACCACTTTTAGCCTGTGAATCCCTCTGATTCACATCCCTTCTGCTGGGTGAGCCCTGCAGTAAGTTGGCACAGGAGAGACTACCAAAGATGCCAGGAATGAGGGCTCAGGACTTGGGAAGCTCTGGTTCCTATAGCACTGACTGGCTGTGTGGCCCTGAGTCAGTCACAGCTCTCTGGACCTCTGATTCCTCTCAGACTGGCAAACTGCCTAGGGGCACAGAGGGGAGGTCCACTTGGTTTACAAGAGAAGTGGCAGCAGCCTGGGGGTAGTGCTCACTGGTCTCGTACCCACTAATGCACATCCGGGCGTAGGGCTTGCCAGGGTTATTCTTTCGGAATGTGGCCACGGCATCAGCCTGGTAAATGTCAAAGCTGATCTCCAAACCCCCAGACTTCTCCAGCAGCCTGAGGACAGAGTGAGAAACCTTAAGAAACAGGGACTGCCCTCCTCCTCCTCTTCTTTCCATGCCATGCTTTCCCTCCCGCAAATCCAAAGCAGCCTCATCCAGGGGAACTGAGGTCCTGCTGTGAGGTGCCACTTGGGCAGGGGGAGGTCCAGCTGTGAGGTGCCACTTGGGCAGGGGCCTGTCTCAGAACCCTCGGGCTAAATCCACCTCTTGCCTTTCACCCCTCCCCCTACCCTAGACACACATGAATATCAGCCAGGCTAAGGGGGCCCTGGAATGATTCCCCCAGCTCATGTCCAACTGAGTCAAGTCCCAGCTGCCAACTCCTGCTGGCAGCCAAGGTACTCTGGAGATAGGCACTACCTGGAGACTCACCGGGCACCTCCATCAGCAAGGTGTGTGGTCTGCAGCACAGAGATATGCTGAAGGGCTGTGGCTGCAAGGACAGTGAAAATAAGGTATTGGGAGGGAAGTCAACCATCTACAGACTCCTCTGACGTTTCTGAATCTGCCATCTAGTTTAGTGTTGCCAGACTTAACAGATTAAAAAAAAAAAAATTGTAGGCATGTCCCATGCAATATTTGGAATATACTTAATACTAAAAAAAATTAGTTGATTATCTGAACTTCAAACTGAACTCATCTGGCAACCCTAGTCTAGTTACTTAGAATCTCCCACGTTCTCCTTAAGGATTGTAAAGAATTCTGAATCTCTTAATACTGTTCTTGCCCTGTTAGTTCCCTATTCTTAAACATGCAGGGCGTACACAGTAAGCCTTCCTTTTATTTGGCCACAATGGTGCCTCCTTGCTCCCCTCACAGAGTTGGGAGAACAGGGATCACAGCTAGTTGGTGGCAGAGCCATCCACATGCATCTTGTTTATTATTTTAAGGATATAGTTGTAGTTTTATTCCCCCTTGCCTCTTCCCAGACACAGACTTGCCATTTCCAAACCTTCCCACATGGGTCCCTTTGCTGCTTTCCAGGAGAACAGACTGTCCTTGTGGGTTCCACTCCACCGGACAGCTCTCTCCGCCCCATCTTTCTTAAGCCTCAATTAGCCATGGCCAATCCATGTCCCTTTCACGGTCTTATGACTCCTCAGCTGCCGGGGGCCTGTGGGGCTTTGGCAGAGTGAGGGGCTACCTGGGGAATCTGTCTGGCCAGGACTCAGCAAGGGTCTGACAGGCTGGTCCCACAGGTGCGGGGGGCGGCTCTGGCTCTTCTGCAGGTGCCTCCTCTGCAGCAGCTGCTTGTACTCCTGCCAGCTGGAGCAGCACTGCACCTCGGGATCTGAGTTTACATCCTCCCGGAAGCGCTGGGCCTCTGCTTGTTGCTCCCGTTCCTGCCTGGAGAGCTTCTCCTTCCTTTGGTTCAGCTTCTGGCACCAGGATTCAGCATCTGTCTCCCGCCCAGCGACGTTGGCCGGGAGCAGCTCTGGGGCTGGGGCAAGCAGAAGGGTGTGGCGGCTATCTGAAGCCATGTTGGGGAAGGAGATCTGTTCAAAGTTCCAGCGTGGCTTACAAACCCCCTTGACCCCATTCTCTACTTTGCCACTCTCCTGGCTGCACCCCACCCCCTTGTTAGCCAAGTCAGGCCAGGGCTCCAGGGATCCCAGAAGCTGAGATGGGCCCACTGGGCCCTTTACAGGGCTTGACTCCTGAGGTTTCTCCTCTACGCATCGGCTGTCCTCGTTGCAAGGAGGTGGGCTGGAGGTTGTCAGGCTCTCAGGTGTCTCATTCACCCCCCGTGGGGGATTCTCCAGGGCCTTGGCCTTCTTATTAATGGACCTGAGGGACGTGGGGGGGGAATTCAGCACGTCTGCTCCTGATGTCTGAGATGCACACGTCCCACACATATCCTACTGCCTCCAGGATCCTACAAGGGAGCCACCCAAGCCCAGCTTTTAAGCCAATGCATTCTCCAAGGTCCCCAAAATGAGCACTCCTTTAACAGCTCTGCTCCCCAGAACTCCCTGGGGGGGGGTGGCCATGTGGGGAGCATTACCGAGAGCTGGAGCTCCTCCTCTTCCTCTTGCCATTCTGATCCGCTAAGCACTGGGCACTGCCATCCAAGTTCAGCTGTCTCTCATAAGGGGACAGGATGGAGCTGTGGGGTGAGAATTGGATGGGCAACAGATCCACTTTCTCAGCCTGGAGTTCCCAGTGGAATTTGTGAGGGACTGGCCCAGAAGACAAGTCAGTGGGCCAGGATCAAAGCCAAACCCAAAGGCTAAGTCCCTGGGCAGACCGGCAAGCAGGGTAAATGGGGGCAACCACAAGGGCCTGCCCATGTGTCTTTGCCCAGGCCTCTGGGTCTCACCAATGGCCCCTTTAAACAGAGACTTACTGGAACCGGGGCTCCTACAGAGCCAGCAATAAATGATTAATCACTAGTGAGAAAAATCAAGAGACCAGAAAACTTGGAAAACACAGAAAAATAAAAATACTCATAAACATCTTTGGTTCTTATAAACACCCATGTTTTTTTCTATCAAAAATTACATTGTACTGGGGTGCCTGAGTGGCTCAGTCAGTTAAGCATCTGCCTTCCGTTCAGGTCATCATCTTGGGGTCCTGGGATTGAGCCCCACATTTGAGGTCCCTGCTCAGCAGGGAGTCTGCTTCTCCCTCTCTCTCTGCACCCCCCACCTCCGGCTCCTGTACTTGCCCGCTCTCTCTCAAATAAAATCTTTAAAAAAAAACCTTGTTACTAACATACTGCTGTTTAATCTCTTACTCTCAATAACAAACTATGGACATAGCCCCTCTGACTATAGCATTCTTCCCTACCATGATTTTCTTATGGTGCTAAGGCTACACCATCCAGATGGTACCCACTAGACACAAGGGATGACTTAGGTTAAATTTAAATCCATTAAAATTAAATAAAAATTCAGTCCTACAGTTGTACAAGCCACATATATTGGACAGCAGAGACCTGGAAAGCTTTTATCACTGCAGAAAGTTCTACAGGACCGCGCTGCTCTAAGGGACAAACTCAATTTTGTGTGACCGTGCCTTCCCCATTGAACTCACAGGATGTTTCCAAGTTCGCCAATTTTGCAAAGTGATAATGTTTTGGGTAAGCTGCCCACTAAATGCAAGTTCTGTGGGGGCAATGATTTTGCTCTCTGAAATTCCTCAGCAACGAGCACAGGGCCTGGCACCCAGTAAGGAATCAAAATATTGTCAAATGAATGAATGAACATTCTGACAGGTGAACTTACACACACATCTGTGCCTATTTCCTTGGGCTGTATCCCAGTTTTAGGAACTAAAGGGCATAACTGTTCTAGAGCTTTCGTGACATACTGTGAAACAGTAAAGAGTATACCAGTTTCCATCCTTTTGGCCCATGCGATGGTCTCTGTGGCTCTTAGCAATGCTGGGCTACTAAGGTGATCATCTTTAGAGGCCCCAGAAGGAAAGAACATATAGCATAGCCAAAGGAATGTGAGACCCTACTCAACTGTTCATTCCTCACTTGGCCCTTCATTCATGCATGCACTAGGCTGCACTAGACAAATCTGCTTACCCACTGAGGCACTGTTCTGGTATTCCAGCTACGTGTTAGTGCACTGTCGTGAGCTGTAAGTGCTCAAATGTTATCTGCGGAGTGAACAGGCTGAAGATGGGGCTGAATTTGAAAACCCAGGAGAAGCTGAAATGACCCAGACTTGTCCCAATGTGCCTCTCAGTAGAGCACTTCCAACAGAGGCCCCCAGCCCATGCCCAGGGAGCTGCAGCTCCAGCCAAGGATTCTAGGTCAAGAGAGGCCATTTCCACTTTGGGGCTCGTCTACCAGGTCCCAGGACTGGAACAAACGGGAGGGGAATGGGATCGGGATTTACCTTGGTTGGAATCGCCGAACCACGTAGCCCAGTCTCTTCAGGTGGCTGAATGCCTCAAAGAGAAAAAATAAAGATCAGAGGTCCACTTTTGAAAACACCAAATAGTTCCTCCAAACAGGAGCCACTCCCCATGCCCCCTCCCCTGCCCCTCCTGCACACCCCAATCCCAGACCCTGGGATTGGTTGGACCATACTCCATTATAAAAACCCTCCCCAAACTAAGGTCTCAGTCTCTGAATTCCTGTCTCTTGCTTACCTTACTCTGGGCACAAATGACATTTAGCAGTTTCTTGATTTAAATGCAAAATCCCAAAAAAGCTGATAACCGATAAATCAGGAAAAGAACTACACGCTAGAATGTTATGATATCAAAGCTGTCCGGAGAGGGGCGCCTGGGTGGTTCAGTCGTTAAGCGTCTGCCTTCGGCTCAGGTCATGATCCCAGCGTCCTGGGATCGAGCCCCGCATCGGGCTCCCTGCTCCGCGGGAAGCCTGCTTCTCCCTCTCCCA